ACAAGCCGTCGATACTAGATCTTGTGCTAACTAACGAAGAACTCATGGTTGGCGGGATAGTTACAAGCACACCACTGGGTCGTAGTGATCATGTCACTCTACTCTTTGATTATATATGCTATGCCGAGTACCCGGAAAAGGAGGAGGATAAAGTGCACACTGTCACGCACTACAATGTGTTGTCCAAGCTTGTTAAGGATACATCTTGGACTTTCTTATTCGAATGTCCCCCAGATTTGGTCTGGGATATGTTTACAAGGACTTTGAGCACACTGGTAGCGCAAGCATCGGAACAGAAGTCCTTCCAACCCAAAAACCAGAGTAAGTCAATTCTGAGGAGCAGAACACGTAAATGTATGTCCCGGAGGGATTTGGCATGGCGAAATCACCAGGGTTGCCCGAATGCCGAAACCTGGACTGCATACGTGACACATTGTAACTTCTGTGTGAAACTGATCCGCGAGGACAAGGTCACGCATCAGCAGAAGTTAATGAAGCGATTCTGCACTAACCACAAACTCCTGTATAGGCACATTAACGGCCTTCGAAAGGTGAAGCGAGGGGTTCCGGCGCTAGTCACAGCTGATGGATACACGCGGTCAGCAATGGAAGCAGCTGATCTCCTACGGCTTCATTACTCTCAAACGTTCCAACAAGTGTCGAGCCCAAACATTCACCTCATTTCTAATACTCCGCCGTTTGGTTTAGAAAACATCACCTTCACTACGGAGGCTGTGTTGAAGAAGTTGTTATCCTTGCGTATCCACAGTTCTCCCGGAGCTGATAACATCCGTCCAAAGGCTCTACAGGCAGTAGCTAGTGATCTAGCAGAACCACTGGCTGTTTTCTATCAGCGATGTCTAGAGGAAAACCTTATTCCACCAGTATGGAAGCAAGGGGTCATCACTCCCATCCATAAAGGAGGCAGCCGCACTGATCCTGCGAACTACCGTCCAATAACATTACTTCCCGTACTATCCAAAGTGATGGAATCAATCGTCGCAGACGCGCTGATGCAATACCTGGAAAGCCACAATTTAATAGCCCCAGAGCAACATGGCTTTCGTCAAAAGCATTCGTGTAACACTAACCTATTAATTGCACGAAATAGCTGGACTGAAGCTGTTGATGATGGAGTTGGAGTCGATGTCATCTATCTGGACTTTTCAAAAGCGTTTGATCGTTTAGACCATCGAGTTCTCCTTCAGAAGCTTCGGAACTACGGCATTGGCGATCCAATCCTGAGTTGGATTAGCAATTTTCTACAAGAACGACGGCTAGTGGTGAGAGTCCGAGAATCATTTTCTCATGCTATCGACGTGACGTGTGGAGTACCACAAGGCTCGGTTCTTGGACCTCGTCTATTCTTGGTGTTCATTAACGATTTGGCGAGATCAATTACTTCCGATTTCTTATTTTTCGCTGATGATATCAAGATATGGCGAAGGATCAGAGGACCGGATGACCATGAACGGCTCCAGCACGATCTTAACACAGTGTCGAACTGGTCAGTTCAAAACGCTCTACCGTTCAACGTAGACAAATGTCGCGTAGTTCAATTACGCCATAGACATAACTACACCTACATACTTGGGACAAAGGAATTGCAGAATAGCTCCCAAGAACGTGATCTTGGTGTGCTCGTACAGAGCGACCTCAACTGTTCAAAACAGGCTGAGGTAGCTGCGAAAAGAGGCAACCAGCACGTCGGCATGCTGCGAAGAGCATTCGGGAGATTTGACCCATCAATCTTCCCAATGATGCTCAATTCCTACGTGCGCCCGCAAGTTGAGTACGCAATCCAAGCTTGGCAACCTTGGTTGAAACGCGACCTAGAAGCGATAGAGGCACCACAACGGAGAGCAACCAAGAACGTGATGGGCCTGCGGTATCACTCTTACCACCGAAGGCTGAAGTTGTTGGGAATTTTCAGCGGACGCTATCGAAGGCTGCGCGGCGATCTCATATTAGCGTATCAAATATTGAGTGACCCCAACCACGTATGCCGCCATTTGCTGAAACTTAGCCACAACACGCAGCTCAGGGGTAACTGCTTAAAGTTGAAGGAACAATATAGCCGTCTAGAGTGTCGACGGAATTACTTTTCCCTTCGAGTTTGCAAACCATGGAACGCACTCTCAGACTCAGTAGTATCCTCTCCTACCCTGGATGTTTTCAAAAAACGATTAGATGTCGCTCTTAGCTCCCAACATTTTGTAACCTAAGCTCCTCTGTTGGGGATTACGCCAAGCATGTTTTCAACAGGACTAATGTATCAAATGGACCTAAGTGAGCGACCATATTTTATTTTCTCACTCCCCACCTCAACTATCACAGCGCCCCACTGTCTTTCAGAATGTTTACGCGCGATATTTCTTTTTCCTTTTAAACTGATGTTAATTATCAAAGTATTCATCTCGGCAGACGTTCGATAGATGACCCACACATATTTTAATTGCATCATATTCACCGCTACCATCCTACGGGACATGTCAAGCACTTGCTTTTATCTCGTGATAAATCATTGTTCATTGTTCATTGTTCGCATTATTTCACTGGGTAGTCTGTCATCCGGTTTGCCTCATTGGCTGCGTTTTCTTTCTTTTTGTTTCATTGGTTGGTAGTTGTCCCGTCATCCGCTCTACCTCTGCATTGCGTCTCGATGTTGCCTGTGTTCCATGGATGGTACCAGGTTGGTCGTATTTTTTCGGTCCGCTGATCCTCCGCTAGTACGCGGACGGTCTGCCGTTAATAGGGATTTTGGGTCGTCAGTGCTTACCCATCGTTTAGCTGACTAATCTCTTCTTCTGGCTTTTCGATACACGTAACGTGCTATTGGCATGTTTACCGCGCCGCAGTATTGGTTTTATTTCACTCGCTTGATCACAGTCAGTCGCGTGAGGTTTCCTCGCTCGGACGAATCTGTTGTGTTCCATGCTCCGCGGTTAGCCTTGCGGGCCCGTTTGCACAAACCTGATTACACATCTGTCCATGCATTTTTGCAGGTCAGTGATTTGCGTCACATCCGCTTCGGAGATGACTTGCTAATACCAGATTTCTTGTGTCCATTGGTTCGAATAACTTGGAGCAGCCTGCGCATATTTTCAATCTGAGCAACGGCCTCCATCTCCATGACATGTTGGGGCCATCAAACTTTCCGACCTTCGTTTGTGTTGTCGTTTGACAATGCGGCGAAGTTCACTGTGGTCTGAGTTTACTGAGAATTTCGGCGGGGGTCAAATAATGCCAGGGAGCGCACAGAAATCCAATCCTTCAATCGGTGATAACTTAACCCACAGACTGATTTGCCCGAATTTGACATTGCATGCTTTAAGAAGCTCGCTCCGATCGTGTTTATTGTTAGTGGGTGGAACGCAGCCTAATTTTAATGTGTACATGCAAGCAGCTTTCAAACTACGTAGCTGAGCCACAATCCGGAAAAGTAGTAGGCGCGTTTCGCCTTATTGGGGCTTGTCAGTGGTACGCATTCCCTCGGTCCCCTACCGGGGATGGAACTCATGACTGCTAGAGGCTGACGGCAACTAGCCAACAGCTTAAGCCACTGTGCCATGGGGGCGGGCAGCTGAGCTAGATAATTTGCAAGCTAACTGGATTATAGCACGACCTATCTTCCACTACCACGCAGCTTACTACCCTTGCAGATAACAGTGGCTAGCCTTCAGGTCATGACTTCCTTACTCTGGACGCTACGCCCGTATCATCTGCAACTAGGTGTTACCTTTTATATTACTTCTGAGTAGGAGGATTTTATTCGTATTTTAAATCTGTTTATCCCAGTAGCTCGAGCTACAATCCAGAAATTTGTGGAAAGAACACATTAAAATTGTGTCTAACATCCTACTACTCATTAGTAACACAAGCTAATTTGTTTCTCTTCACCTGTTAATAGGTCAGCTGAGCCGACTGATCATCTAACTCGTTCGTATCGAGTCTACAATGCCTCCATTTTCGAGCCCTCTGATTCGCATAGACCAGTGCGTGATCTTAAGCATGCTAATTAGTCTGATAAGATCTATAGTCTTGTATTGTACCCCGTCATTTAAAACGGCAGGGTGGTCTATTTCAGATCAACTCTTCATTGGTGAAGGAGTACGCTAGGTAGTTGGATGCCTCTTGAAGTGCCTAAGGTTTGTGTTTGTGAGAAATGGACCATTGTTTTCACACGGAATGTGAAACCGGGTTCCACTATCCCAGCCATCCTTATTGAGTACGTGATGACCACCTAGGTGAAATTCGCCTGATAACAGGCGGCCTACTCGTGCGTTGAAATCTCCTGCAAGAGTGGCGGCTTCACGTAACAACTAGTGAATTTTGTGATGAAAATCGCCTTTGATTGATTCACATCTACAGTCAATTGGAGAGTAAGCAGATCCACAAACCTGTTATGCTTTTTAGCGCGATGCCTGTTGTTTTCATCTGATGTTTGAGATTGAATTTTCGCGCACTAGGCTAGTGGAACGCTACCTCGTTACAGCTTTGGTAAACCGAAGTAAGTACGGATTATCATGGCACGGCACAACTTTGAACTCTGAATCCTGCTCCATCAGTCAACCCGAGACCAGGAGATGGTTGGTTATCGCGGAACCTGACGACCTTTGCTAGCACGGACTTTGAGAGAGCAGGTGATCTGGGTATATTCACGCTGTTCCCATCTCGGCACATGCTCTTTTGTTCGAAAAGCCAGTCCTATCGGTTCTGCCAATTTAACTGGCTCTACAATCACACACAAATTTGTATACACAGTATGAGTTAGATCCGATAGACTGAGCGTCTTTCGTTGGACATACGGACGAATTTCTGATTCGGTTGATAAAAACAACTTGTGCGTAACCGAGATTATCCGCTGAACACAACTAAACGTATTCTCTCCACTACTTCCAGTTATCAGCGTGGAAGTGATCCAATGGCTAATTTCCTTTCACTCTCCTTATTCATCATTTGGCCTTTCCATATTTATGCATCTACCCTTTGTCTTGCAGCCAGAAGAAGCCAAAGTGATTCGGTACCAAGTGTCTTCAGTCGAGGGGGATCCTAGCCGAAGACAGTCAAAAGGTCAGCATTCTATCATCACATATGGCAACTTCGTGCTTCCGTTTCCCTTGTCGCTTATTTATTTATTTGAGCAAGAATCTCCCCGTGTGTTAGCCGACCCATTAAAACAACGCATCACTCTCCAATCCATTTCTCTGCAGCACTAATCTCGCCGATTTCTCTTTCTTTTATAAAGAGACAACATTTTATATATCATATTGTGCTTGTGCTGCGATGTGGACATGGCTAGCTACACTTCGCATCCTTTATCTGTTGAGCACCCTTTTCCACCGTCAGCCAGTGGTCGGTTGGTGTACGGCATCTATCTTGCAGTCCAATGCTTACCGGTTGAATCTACTTAGGTACAGGGATAGGGGGTTCACAGTAGCTATTGTCCTCCCGCGACTGGAAGTGGTCGCATGGCACCAAAGCATCAGTATAGCTTATCGGTGTACTACCGATGCTTTTCCTTTTTCTCTCCCTATTTCCACTGCATCCAACAGATAGCACTATTTGCTTCAATCGAATCTGGCTTATGCAAGTAGTTCAGGTCAAATATGATTTTTCACACGTTCGTGAAAAAGCATAAGCAACAATTTACCTAGAGTCAAGCATTCTCTGGACAGCAGTTGCCAAAATGTCACACATAGACACAGAAGTCATGTATACCCCACGCTTCTTTGAATTGCTACCTCATTGTAGCTCGCTTCGCTGGCTACTTTTTTGCCCACCTTAAATCACTAACTTGGGTTTATTGACTCTTTCACTGTTCTCCCCTTGCTACTTAATCCACGTCTCACTTACCTTGTCTGGGGCCACGTTGAACTTTTTGCTAGGTTTCGCCAGTTTTGGAATTCTAGTACAATCCGTAGAGTTGTGATCACCACCTTGGAGTGACGCTTGTTTATTTTTCTGTACCCCGAGTCCACGTCCTTTTCGTCCACCCAGCCTGTCGACCACAATCACACCCTGTGCCATCGGCTTAACTTCATCGACTTCTGGGTGCTGTTCTCCCATTGTAATCCCGATCAATCGTTTTTCTTATCAGGACTACATCGCGCCCCATCCATTCGGCACCTCGCCATGTCTACACTTCGCTCCGGCTCCGTTCTCCCAAACTACCATCATACATAGTTCTAATTTCCTCTCCTCACATTGTTATCTATTCACTATGCTTCATCACTATGCTTCCATCAGCTAATAACAACAACAAGAAGAGGTGGATAAAAGCCACAAAATGCGATGTTGTGTCAATAATGTTACTCAGAAAACCTATACTTTGTGAGCTACAGTCAAGCGGCATGGCTTCACGAGAAAGTGATCTGACAGCATGGGTATACGTTTCCGTCAATTCCACTATACTCCCTTTCTTATTCCGTTTGTTGTTTCATTCGATGTTGTTATAACTCGACCCATACTGAACCACGACACTTAGCAGAACGCAGTATCCCGCCCGTATCGCACGAAAGTAAAACACACAGTTTCAGCAGTACACCGAATGTATTATGTCGCCACAAACGCTTCGCATAATCAATGATTAACTGGCGTTAACCGATACACACACTGTTTGGTGGATCCATCCAACAGGAACAGTTTAATCGATGACCGGCTAGCGTTGGACTGATACACTTCGCCGATGCCACATATATGTAAAGGATCAATAAAGCATTTCGAATGGATGCATTTTCAGCATTTAAACCATTACTGCGGTATCAACTGATCCTTTTTTTCAAACTTGTACGAGCCCACAACTGCGCATGGTGGCTATGACAGGAGCTAATTTTTTTCTGATGAATTCAGAGGAACTGTATCTGCGCCTCACTGAGACAGCTACAAGGGTTGAGTGATCTCTCGTGTCTATGGAAGAGTAAAATCTACTTCTGTACCTTTGATAGAGCGTGTACACAAACTTAAAACGATTGCCAACCACAAAATCCACTGAGGAGCCCCAGAATATTCAGCAACGGCTTCTAAAACAACGCTTTATTGGTCTGACAGCCGAACTATAGTCCTGTCGAAGAACACCAAGTGCCTTATCGTGACCATATTACTTCCGATAGGGAATAACAAGTGCTATCACGACTCCGGGCTACTGGGAGCATTTTGGATCTGATCACGCACTCTGCTAGCCTCCTGCTTTTAATTGCTAAACCGTAAGAATAAATGGTTTGAGTCTAGCCTTTTAATTACTCTACTTAGGATTTACTCTATCTCCTAAAGCTGTATCTCATGTTTTCTATGGATGCCCTATCCTCCCGTAATATATACGTTTCTCGGATTTGCTAGAAGCGGTTTTTGAATGGGAGCAAATCAGTATGCAGATACAATCATGATATTGCATGTATAAACTAGGCATTCGATGGTGTTTGTGTTACCAAAACATTATGGGATGCACGGCTTTTCTTGCTGAAAGGACTTTTTGTTTAACTGTTTCCCTTTACTAGCCATATATTTTTCGGCCTATCCTGGAAATATTCATTTCTCAAGTTTCTCAATTGGCCATTGTCAAGTTCTGATGGATAAACATATTAAATTTATTGCGGAATGTTATAGGATCCGCGCAAGGGTTGCTAATGTCTAGTCGGCCAATCCACAAGACAGCGTATTTGATGAGGAAGAAGTTAGAGCAAACATCTATTCTTGTCTTCCATACAATTACTGCAATTTTTATATAGACAGCTCGGCGTAAATCCTCTGCTTATCAGATTGTGCAGGAGCATCAGGTTATGGCTGAGTCGTCGTGACCAAAGGGTATCGAGGTGAAGCTGCTTGCAACCCCCCACCCCCGCTAGTTCAAGATGGATGCTAAACCAAGCAGGACATTTGTAGGTTTTTTGGAGCTTTGCTGTCACTCATCCACACGTTCCCATTATTGATTTCGGTATTTCAGAATGGGAAGGGTAAAATTCTCAACTGTATGGATTTTGGGATAATTGTTAGCCATAGGCTGCTTATCTCCAAGTGTTTGATATTCACCCCATTTAGCACAGTGGAAGTTGGAAGAATACCATATTCTGGGGTCATAAGTAAACAATTTTACCCGGAAGTATTCTCAGAGAACATGCTTTGTTCTTGTCTGTCTCTTTAAGCGCAACGCGTTTCTTTACACCTGCTAATAGCCTATAATTATGAAGATCAACGGCGACATGACTACCATGGCAATGTAAACATTCAGTTTTCTCCTAACATGAACCCTGGTACCGATGGTCAGCTTCGTGTAGTATATCAATGAGTTTCTTCTTACGTTGACAAAATAGGGTTGTACTTTCAATTATGTCTTGGTTGCAGGCCTTTCCTCTGAAGGCTAGGTAACATTATCGATGCAAATTCGAGGGAAATGATCTACCTATGCTCTTGACTTGCCAACGTTTCCGCCACCATTCTCATTGACTTTTCGATTGGTTCATGTCGGGCTGACGGAATTGTTTCATTTTTCCTTTAGTTGACCCGTATATAGCAGTCGATTCTGTACACACAACGGTTTTCATAAAATGGTCTTTTAATACCATAGCTTCGGCTACAAGGTGTTTCCATCTACAGCTTGACACACCTCGGCTTCCACGACTACTCCAATACGACTGTTTGGGCTTTGATTGGTCTGAAGTAACAAAACAATCTTACGAGCTTTCGTCTCCACATTGTTAGTTCCACTAAAAATCACTTTTCTCGCCTAAACTGTTGTTGGGATATTGCTGTTCGATGGATCGACACTTTCTCCTTATACATCTGCTTATTTTCTATAACGGATTGCTTCGTTTGGTTTCACTATACACCTTCTTTTCTTACTTGATACGGTGACTGACCATTTGTCACTCCTCTTTCCCCTCACAGAGGGCCTGATCAACTTGACTGGGAAGTCTTATGTTTGCATCCTGCACGAGTATTGTCAAAATGTCCTCCGTCGTCCTCCAACCTACCAAACAGCGGTTTTGGAGAATGATCGCAATCCATACCAGCTGACTGTCTTGATCGACGGCACTCCTTACGCGACTGGGGTCGGACAGAGCAAGAAACAGGCTCGCCTTGAAGCTGGTACGTCTGTGTTGTGCCTCCTCGTAATTTTGTGCACACTTGTGACTATGTTATGTGCTCTTTATGGTTATTCTAGTCCCGAAGTCATGCTGTTAGTCTTTCAGTCACCATTTCTGTTCGACAACATAGTTTGCTGCCAATTCGCAGTGCTCACGCCTCGCTTCGTTGCACATCCTACACGTTTTAGAATCATTGTTCATGGAGTTTTCTTCACTTAATCATAGGATTGTCTCGGCCAACCCTTGCCCTTTCTCTACAACTCTCATCTAAGCGCGCCATTCAACCAACGTGGTTTTGTCACTACGCATCTGTGTTGTAGTATGATAGCGTTCAGAGCGACTGAACACTCTGTCTCTTCGTCACAGACTTGTCCGATACCGGGCATCTGGCTTTTTACTTACAACTGACAGATTCAAGCCTGGTTAGGCAAAGAGGACCTCGCATCATCCTTAGCCCGCACTTGTCTGTTGGTGAACACATGGGAGCGATGCGCCTGCTAATATCCTTTCTTGCTTTTTCGAATCACTAAAGCAGTGTTGTTGTACACTACTCATCACACCACTCTGTTGCCCATAATCGGAAATTTGCCACATTCACGCCGATTTTAGATGACATTTATTGTTGCTCTCCCCGTTCGTTTTATTCCCTCTCTGTTTGGAGTGACCCGTGTGTCTAGCCTCCCTACCTCCCGGAGGTGTCCACCTCATTCACATTTCATTTTGTTTTTTGGGACCATCACGATTGCGTATCACTACTATTAGGTGTGACGTCAAAATAGGACGCCATTCGATTGCAGTAGATTATCCACCTGGCGATGGTTCGTTCATCAAAGTACCTACCGGACATATTTGTGCTAGAATCACCCCGCGTCTATCAGTTTCACATGCGTATCTACTACTTGTTAACAAGGCTCTCCCAGCTACCTGGATAAGCTTAATTTAATTTTCCATCTGGTAATCTTATTAATGGACCTGGCGTATTTGGGTCGTCCACTACACGGAAAGTATCATTCCCGTTCACTTGGGACATCATTCAACTTAGTATTCTTAGATTTGCTTGTTGTGTTGTACGTTACATGCTCTTTGGATTTGTGTTGGACTTTCTGATTTATCTGGCATCACAGTTCTGAATAGTTTTCACTTTCAACCTGTGTTTTGACTGTCCGCTGGGCTGTGCCTTGTTTGCAATGGTTTGTCCGATTGGGCAAGCCCATCAGGCAAACAGATGACGAAGCTTTTTGACTTCAGGATTTTGCCTCACGACTGCTCTTCGTATTCCTAACTGTGTACATCAGGACCAGATAAATCAGTGGCTGGATACACTGTATTAACTTTTGCATTCAGAGTCTCACAGTTTACTTTCCAACCGATTTTCCTTCGGTTCGACTGTTTTGTGCGGATTCAACGAAGCACTCCGAATCTCTCCGTTTACTGAATATCTCCTTCGTATGGAAGTTACTATTGTAAGCTACAACACCGTTTAACATACGATCACCCTACTAACGGCAATAAAACTTTACTTCCAACCAAGTCTTTGGACTCTTTTTCCTCTGCGTGTCGCGATTTTCATCTTTTAAATACTTGTTTTTCTTACCTCATTTGGACATTTGGCTTCTTTTGACAACGGGTTTAGGTTAATTAGTTTACTTATCCGGTTGGTGCACTATGTCTCTTTCCTATTCACTACTCTCACCTTGTTTTCTCTATTCGCAAGCTCGAAATGCTCTATCGCGACTGATTCCGGATTTCGATAAAGTTGTGGGTTCCGAACTACAGACTTCCGGACCCCCAGCTGCTTCGGAACGTAATATTCAGCTGTTTGATGACATATCTGTGACAGATCCTCGAATGTACGAGTTGTCCGTCCGAATGTCCCTCCCAACCCCATACAACTTGCTGGTGGAATGCCTCAGTCGCAGCTGCATCCCCGAAAGCGACTTGAAGTCCAACATGAGCTCTCAAAGTCGAAGCAAACATTTCTTCAGCCTGGAACTGCGTGAACACAAGGTTAAAGTAAGTGCTTCTTTGGTGGTAGAAAGGCACGAATTGCGATACTGAAGGAAATTATCGGCAAATGTTTCTAGTTCATCTGCATTTTGGGGAGGAGGCTGAACCACCGTTTACTGCAACATGGCATCGGATGGGGTGTATATCCGCATTATCTACTGATACAAGTTCCTATAGACGACCGTATCCGAAACGCTCGTGATTACGTGCCACTGGCTGGCGCGACTATGCTTTAAAACTACTGTGTGCGTCAATTCACTGCCTACTTGATTCCTACGCTGTCCACTCCTGTTGCATCTGAATCCAACAGTTTTGCAGTTCTTTGTTTTCTCCAACTTACAGATATTCGTTACTTAAGTGGTGTTAGTCCGATACACTAAGAATAGTATGGCTTCTTTTTTCTCTTGGAATATTATGAACGGCACCATCCCTGACATTTAGAGACCTGTGTGGATAACGCCTGTGTCCACGAAAGAATCCCAAATGTATCGTCCGATAGCATTTACGTCGGTCCTTCAAATTTTCTCACCTGCCCATGCTGATGGCGTCTACCAGTCTGCTTATAAACTGTTGGCTTCACACTAGGGGCTGTATCATATCGTATGCATTCTGTATCTCGATGAAAAATGCATTACTTCGACCGCTGAGAAACCTACTACCTTTCAAAGAGGCATGAATAAGTTTGTGCTATGGCTTCTATCTCGGTCTCTCATTTTAAGCACTTCGAAATGTTGCGACGTAACATTTTCCTCTTCTCTTGCCTAGAAGTTATAAGCTTTTTTGGCAGCCACCCATCATCATCATCATCAGTAGCAGTGCATAGATTATTTGATTTGATGCTTCGCTGCCGCACAATCACAATAAAGAAGAATAAGGGGCGGGAGAGGAAGGGGATCGAATGTGACCATTCCGGGTCAAGGCGCCTACACTTTATCACAACATACGATCATAAACACCTGGCGCCATTGGCGAAACAGCTTCCTTTCACTGTCTCACTAGCTAATCAGCCTTTACTCCGAAGCTAACTGAGCACAAGCACACTTTAAACATGCGGTCCCACTAGACGATGATAGCGAACATGCCAACGCTGCACATTGCAAACCATATCCAGTAAAGTCTTGAGCCAAACACCAGGTATGTGTGCTTCAGCCTTGAGCACGAATTGGACCCGAAGCGCCCAGTTAAGTCGTCCTTGACTTCATTTTGCGCTGTCAAGTTAATTTTTGCCCACCTCGGGCCCTGCGACCGTGGTGAGCAAACAAAGCAAAGCATTTCTCGGTAAGCGGTGGCCGGGCCTACGTTTCATGTGCCCAGACGAACGTCACTTATTCAGTGCTATCTGTTCTTCTAAGGGTCTAGCCTGAGCACCAATGTCTAGCACTCGCCTACGCATATCATCGTTGCGGATATACTGGTGCCACCAGCAATGCTGTGTAGGCAGCGCTGATCAGATCGAAGGGGCCCAGTCTCACTCCCATAAATAGGACGACCCTCATTGTGGCCTTGTAAACATGGCCTTTCAGACCAAAAGAAACCTCTTTCTGACGCGGAATTCACGTAGACCGTTCTAGCTTTACGTAAAATGACTTCATCTTTTTGCTTTCATCTCTACGGAAGCAGCCGCAATGGTGAGTGAGCTGATCAACTACATCGAGTTCTTTGCTGTCAGGCGTCAGAGGTCATCAAGTGACTGATGGTTCTACAGTCGATAAAACTTCTAAAATTAATGGATTGTTTAGGGCGGCCTCGTTGATTTTACCATCAGCAAACATGTAGACACTGCTGTCAGTTTTTCATTTTAGGTTCTGATCAATCTTTTCCAATCCTGGTGATCTAACAAAGACGCTATTTGTTTCGTCTACCCGGCCTCCATTTAGCATCCACCTTCTCTCACTACATTATACCACAACTCCATCTTACTGTACTTGCCACGATTACTTGATGACCTAAAGAAAACCTTCGGTATGACGAGCAATTGTTTACTTTCGGAGTGTCCGTGCACATCATTTGTTTATCGTTAAACATTCCTTTCATCTATTTCCCCTCTCGCAGTGATAGTGTGCCATGCTGAAACTGGGTCTACCCGGGTACCTAGAGGCTATTTTGACTTAACTCACATGCTACAGTGTGCCACGCGTTTGCATCACGGATGACACGACACATTAACGTAATGCAATGACCTTTGTCGCAATCATATCGTTGCAGCGGTAGTTTTTGCCACTCGATTCGCCGTCCTCGGTTTTTCAGAGTACATTTGGCAGACTGGTTTCATGTACAAGTGGGATACAAACTTTGTATAACTAGTTTCACGATTTCATGAGTTCAGAGAGGTTTGGAAACAATCGGTTGGTATAATAGTTTGGTAACGTTTCGTCCTCGACACGAGAACTTCGTCAGACCAGGTGAATCCGTTATCTTTTTGCACAATTGTCAACTTATTCTGTAACCACTGCCCAATCACCGTAACAGTCAGGGAACAAGGGCCAGATTATTTCACCAGTGCTTCTTAGAGATGAAAGATGAGCGTAAATCATCAACGCCACAAAAACCTAACGGGAATTCGTTTGTTATTCACTAATACCCTTGAGTTTCTCTCATGGATTCCTCTCTTATGACACTGCTTGTTTTGGTATTTACTTTTACTGCGTACCGCGTTCCATTCCAGTTTTATACAGTGATTCGTGTTATTCGTTCACTCTGCTGATTTTGCAATCATTTTGATGCGTTTCACACACTTTCAGGTTCCCTGTAAGAACAAACGCGAGGGCCGTCATCTGGCAGCGCAACACTTGCTCGCTCGTCTGCATCCTGAGTTGACCACCTGGAGTGGTGTTCTTCGTATGTATGGCCCAGGGAGTAAGCCAGACAAGCGTGGTGAGTTGGAGACCATACAGGGCGCACAAAATCAGGAAAAGGCTACTGTGAAAACGAGCCTTATTCGCCTGCTGAAGGCAAAAATGCTTGAATTGGCAGATCAATGGGTAAGTGATTATACTGCCTTTTGACTGCTCTCTATTCTGCTTTTGTTGCAACATGTTCTTTTACTTCGTAATGGTACCATTCTCTGCCCGACAGCGGTTTCTTCTAGATCTTAAATTCCCTTGGCAGATGTTGAGACACTTAATCTTATCACTCCGAATGAATTATCTCGTCTACGAAGCAAGGACGTCTCACGTTGACCGCTTGTGATAGCTTTCTGACTCCAGCGTTCTTGTCATGGTAATCAACGCTGGAGCTAATTAGTACCCCCCGATTTCTACAACTCACGATCACGGAATTGCGCTATAAGAATCTGCAGACCAGGCTATCACACTGTCTCTCCCTGGGACGAACGTTCCACTGTCATGCATGAGACCGAAGTGTGCTCATGGCATTCTCACTCGTCACTATGCCGGGAACCGGATATCCGAAAGGTTGATGAACCTGCTAGAGTGGAGCAGTAGCTTTTCTCTACTCTTTGCACAAAGATACCAGGTGGGTTCCAACGCACCGTTCAGGAGGGAATCCGATTACTGCTTGGAAAGCATGGCGACTATAAGACAAACACCACTGCCACTTGCGGTTAATCCACACTATTGCCCCTAGCAAATCATCCATCAGTTATATAATATGGGACAGCAAACGCAATGTGTTCCACTTTTAGTGACCTTGTTCGATTCTTTGTGCAAAACATTCTCTGAGCTAATTCACTTCATCTCTTGTTTCCACTTCACATCGTGTGCAGGTAACGCAGATTGAACTTAGTCAGGTTAGAGGCTTCATCTGAATGTAGCATGTTCGCGTTACTGGCCTGAGTTCCACAGCTCCTGCAAATAATGTATCGTCGACTCGAAGAGATTCGGAGAGGAAAAACTGTCTCACTCATCTGGACCGGATGTGTCATTATCATCCTCCTCTTTCTTCTCCTCCTCATCATCATTATCAATACACGGTAGCTGAGGGTGGGAAACACACTTCAGCTAACCTGCCGCCATACAAATAAGATATCAACTCTTATATAACACAAACCAAAAAGTAATATAGTGCTGAATGTCACATTATGTATGGCGCATGAGATCGTGGTTTGGGGAGGAAGCTAAGGAGGAACGGATGAACGAAAAATCTCACAGCACAAAGTTCTTTGGGGCCGGCATTTCGCCATGTCAGCATGTGTTTCCAACCAAACGTGTTCATCGTCCTTCGGCCCTCAGCTCGACACTCGGGAGACACCGATCGACGCAAAGTTTGAAGTGAGTTTTCATTCCTCTTGACCAAATCATCGCTTGGCCACGTCTCTTCATCCATTTAGACACCGGTCGTGCAAACAACGCACGGTGCAGGAGTCGGTATGCTGTCATGCGCAACACTTGACCAAGACATCGGAGCCTTGTGTGTGATACAGTAGTGCTGAGCGGTTCACTGGTGCAGCAAGCTACATCAAATGCACTACGCCGAACACATGCATTGCTCACGCGGTGTTCCACCAGATATGAGCTAAGCTGCGAAGACAGCAATGGTCGAACGTAGGTAGCCTCTTTATGTCTGTCGACCTGATGGGCCAGGTTTCACCACTTTATAGGAGGGTTGAACAGATGGCTACGTTGTAAATTGTGTCCTTCAGGGCGAGATTAATGTGACGCCGGAATCACAGGTGGCGGGGATATGCAAAAGCGGTAAGGAATCCAAAGTTATCTTTGGAATACACGCCTTGTGGTTGGATTGCGACATGCAATCTCTATTCGGACCTGGGTTCATTTTGAAGTAAACGTTCCTCATTCCGATCACAAGGACCATATCCGAAATGGTGTTTCGGTGTTAATCCTCCCAACGCTGACACCCGATAACCGATCTGGTCCTCCTTTGGACTCATCAGATAGAGATAGCCAGAACTTGGGTGAAATTCGGGGTTAGTAGTTCACATCTGACACATTGATCACTATACCACCAAGATCCGTGAGCAACGCTTGCCACAGCGGTAAGAAATTTAAAGTTGGATTTAGAGTACTCGACTTGTGGTTGGTTTGCGACAAGCAATCTCTATTCGGTGTCCGAAACACCTCCATTTCTGATGCAGCCCTTGTGATCGGTATAACCGAAGTCAACTTCAAAGTGAACCGGGGTCTCAATAGAGCCTGTGTGTCGCGGGTACTCCAGATCCAACTTTGAATTTTAGTGCGTTGCCTGTTTTTTGTATTCTGTAATGTTTAGTATTTCGCTTCTTCATATATCGTATCATTTTGTATTACGACACTATAGTTGGAGTGATGATGATGCCGTAACACCTCCATCGCTTATACTCAACATAGCGACTGAACATAAACTACCTTTCCCACCGGCCTTTATCACGGTCATACTGATATTGCTCCTTCCAAAGCAGTTCGTTTCCATTCATGTCAGTTTGATTTACCCTACATGCATCGATGTGTGACAAATCAAGCTGTAAACAGCATCGCATCTCCATGAAAATCACGACTTAAAGTAGAGCAAGGAAATTGATGAACCAAACGGGAATTGAAATCATTGTAGCATGCATCAGGGAATTAACTATACGCGCATCACTGACATTTGTGGCACTTCGCGTCACACAGTGAGACCTCGATTTGCCGGGTGCCGCCGTTCGCCGCCAGAAAAAGTCCTTTATTTGATCGCTTTGCTTTCGTTGTCGTTTGCCTTTTATTTTTCTGTTGTCACCGTTTGTTCACTTTTAGGCTTCGCTCAACCAGCTTTTCTCAATAAACAATGTGCTTGGGCATGGTCTCTCAGCGGGCATGCGAAGTACTTTACCCAACTAGTGAAAACGATGCATAGGCAATGAACAGCCAGGGGGGAATTCATGAACCACTGTTTTAGGCATGCTCATTCGGTGACCCCACTCGATATGAGCAATAATTCGAAGGTACCCGATGCCTTGGACCCCCGAGCTTATTAGGCTTGACAACACGCTTAACTTGTTCCGTTTTGCAGGTGGATCCAGTGAACTGTCGGCAGGAATACGGGTTGTTGCATCTAGTCACATCCTTGAGTCACTCAAGCCTGTTGCGAGATATAGATGAATTAATGAGCGATCCAATCTCTGTCGTGAGCGCAATGCAGTTGATCGTTTTCAGCTATTGCGTTCGATCGCGTGCCATGTCTTTGCTGCCACTCTCGCTATGCCCATCTTGTTAACGGATCGAAACAAACTGTGATGATCGCATCTCACAAGCGGGAAACCTATGCCCATGAGATATCAACCAGATAGGAAACCTATTTCAATTCTGCTTGAAATGAAAGTGCCACATGTCCGGTTGTCTGGTCTCAATGACCTTCCTGCGAGTAAGGATATAACAACAGGATGGAAAAAGCGTGCTAAATGCCACATGTGCTGAGAATCCGCATTAATTGTCAAATACACTGACAGCTAGCCCAAAGTGATAGAGCGAAACTGGGAGTACTATTTTCTTCTTGTTTGAATCGTATCAGATACGGCTTCTCTCTGTTGATGTGACTGTTTGCACGGCCGCGTACTATTCACAACTGGCATGTGCGCAAGTTAGCCATCCTCATCGGCCTCCACATAGGGATATCCTTTTGATGATATTGCGCTTTTCTTTCGCAACTCATCGAACGCTTTGTTTCGTGCTATCATTTCGTTTCATACGAGGATATTAAACTTTCCTCCGGTTGCTTTCGAATTACATGCTTCTCTCCCGTTTTCTTCATTTGGCTACCATAGGAGAAGAATGGTGGTAACATTCATCCGAAAGGCAAGTTCTTTGTCTCTCCTGACAATCTTCCCGTGGTCACCTTTCACCCGGACTCGAAAACAGAAGTCTATGGTTCCACCCCAGCTCCCGAGTCACCAGTTACTTCAGGAACCTAACTCCAACTGTCTCTACTTTCTCTCGACTGATCCATTTCGGCTCATGTGCTTTCCGATCCATTTCGCATTTACGTTACCCCTGAATGGACTGTTTTCAATCCATTTTCTCGTATCTTCCTTAGTCCCTGTGTTACATTTAGAGTAAACTTATTATCTAAATTTCCTCCTCTTGCTATGTAATTTGCTTTCTCATTCTCATCATATACTCACATTACTCGAATCATCGGTTCCATTTGTTGGCTATCTCTTTCAAGGCTTTCGTATGCTTGGGTCCTACCATCAACTTCGCGATTAAAAGGTCGCATTATTTCTGTACTCGCTCTGTGCCCAGAGAAAAGCTACCTTTCCACCACTGCGGCATCTATTCCGTAACTTTTTCCTCCACTTCGAAGACTTGAAATCCCTTAAATCGAGTTAATCAGTGTCGCAGAGCAGGCTACTTTCCACTGGTGCGCAGTTCACTGTAAAACAAAGTGTGTCGCCCCGCCCAGTGGCAGTACGCTCGTTGCTAATATAGTTACATATTTTGAGATCCAGTAACTCCATCCAGTACGGTAACGGCTGCTCCAGAGCACATCGATGGTAATTTACTACAGGAGATCCTGATCTACCTACCTAACAGTGAGCGGATGCTGGTTTTCCATAGTCAGTCAGGGATATTGTTAGCTTTGCTCCCTAAGTTCATTCGCTGAATTTTATAGCGGACGAGAGCATAACCAGAGTGAAGGTATGTGTTCAGCAACAAGCTTTGCTCCTGGCTAGACCCGCGCAATCGCGTACATTTTGTCTGTGTCCATTGTTGAGCCACTGCCGGAAGATGCAAAATGAAACAACGGTGCATACTGTGTCTGAAAACATTTGTGATGTGAAACAACTTTCAATTAACCTCCACCATTGTTCTTAACAGTAGACCGTAACTTCCTACCCAACAGCTTTTCTGGATTGCGTGACATACTTGCGTACTCATTTCACCGGCATCGCAACACTTTAGCAGCGTTTTGAATTCCTTTATGTGACAGCATCATCTTTTTACCCGGATGTAAAATAACCGGTGACAACGGATGATCGTCGCCTAGCTCTTCTTCGTGCTCTAATCGCAGTTTTATCAAACTGCTTGTCCACAGACGGCTGTTCACGAGAATCCAGGCGACAAAATTGCATTCAACCACAGTGCTTAAAGTAACTTTCTGTCCGTCTTAAATTATGTCGGTTACACTAGCCTATCTGGTTGCGCTCAACCAATAAGTCAGAGATAGCTCAATCGATCTCTATCCAATTACCGCATAAAAGTCTGCTGACAAATGCTGGCTGTCTATGTGCTTTGGAGTACGAATCTTGAATGCCGTCGGAAACATGACAGAGTGATCTGCTTTCGAGTCACTTCATATCACGTATCATCATTATCGGTACACGTTAGCCGAGGGTGAGAAACACACAGCTAATGTTTTGCAATACGAAAAAATAAGATACTAAAAAGTACAAACTAAGAAAAGGTCCCAAAAGCAAGTAATATAACGCTAAATATCCTATTGTGCATTTAGTATGGGATCATAATTGGAGTAGGAATCTAAAGAGGAGAGGAATGACAAATAAACTCACAACACAACGTTCCTGGGGCCAGCCTGTCGCCATGTTGACAACTGTATCCGTCTAAACATGTTCATCGTCCTTGGGATCCCAGCCGAGCACTTGGGAGACACCAACCAACGCCAAGTTGGAAGTGAAGGTTTTCTTTCCTCTTGACTAAGTCATCGTTTGGTCTTCCATCCAGACCCCGGTCGTGCTAATGACGCAGGAGTCGGTATGCTGGCGCTCGCGACACGAGGCCTAACCATCAGAGCCTTATGTGTGAAATAAGGGTGCTGATTGGTTCACTCATTTTTCCTGCACCAAATACACTACGCCGAACACGCGGTGTTCTTACCATATATGGGCTAAGCTGCGAAAGCATCGAGGCTTGAACGTAATAAGCCTATTTATATCTGTCGACCTGATGGGCCATGTTTGATCACCGCACGGTAGGGTTGAACGGACAGTTGCATTTTGAAATCTGCTCTTTAAGGCGAGAGTATTGTCGCGTCAGCGCGATAGGTGGGGAAGATTGGCAATAGTGCCTCGATCTTTTGCTATGCGGTTCCTGACCTCATCTTCGATCCAACGGGCGCCGACATAGCTGCCAAGGCACTTAACTTCTTGAATCACGTCTAACTGATCACTACCAAGAGTCAGCGGAGAAGTGGGTCCGTGCCAATCTTGGAGAAGGATTTTGCATTTCGAGGCAGCAAAACGAATGACCGCAAGCGTTATTCTGTCCAGTACTACTTTGCACATTTGGGCGCTGTCACAGATTGGAGCAATGTCCTCAGCATACTCCAAGTTAACAAGTCGACAACCTAGGAGTAGCTTCATGCCTTCTAAGTTGTGTCCGGCGAACGCAATTTTCATAACTTCGTCAATAGCGATGTTGAAGAGGAGAAGTGTCAGCGGACAATATTGTCTCACACCGCTGAAGATATTGGATGGTGACGACAGTTTGCATAAACCGTCGCCCGAACAATGCGCGTATGGCGCTTTGACAATCTTCGCCTATTTCTCGGGCCATCTTTCCTTAGAAGACAGTCCCAAAGGGCACACCGATCAACCGAATCGAAGGCCCCTTTGATGTCGAGAAACACAATTACAATGGGTCGCCAATAGATTTGACGGTGCTCCAACTATTGGTGCGATGTAAATTGGTGGTCAATACAGCCTCCATTTAGACAAAACCCGGCTTGCTCATTAAGAATCTATCAGTCAGTCCGTATTAATCGACGGACGTAAACAAGTTAGTGGCAATTGAGATCAAATTGATTGCTCTGATTACCGCATTCGGAATGTGAGCCTGTCTTGAAAATTTGGACTATACGTGGAGGTTGCAGTGTTTTGCGGCAGTCTGTTGCTTCCACGTCGGCAGGTGGGCGAGTGATTTGCACGCCTGTCTTGCAGTCATAAGCTCACCGCAGGCGTCCTGGCGGTATACTCAGCCCGCTTGCGACTGGTGGTGGTCACGCGGCAGCGAAGCGCCGTTACGGCTTACAGCCGACACATTATTTTTATTTTACGCTTATTTCTCCTGCTCCCACAGCTTCACTAGTACATTGTGCGAATCATCTACGATAGCGGGTCTTCCAAATTTGAATAGGAATGTAGGAAATCTATCTGCTCTTACGGCGCTATTCAATTTCAGTAGTCTGATCTCACGCTCGACTTTTGTGTGGGAGGGCGGATCCAAGGAGACGGCCCAGGGAGAAGAGCAATCAATGCCCGGAAAACATGGTGGAAACTGAAGTTGCCTAAACTGCTTTCAAATTGTTCAGCCTAACGCTGCAAGCGTTTCGCTAAGCTGTGGATCGGCTGTTCACCCTTGTTGCGTATGGTCTCTCTGACAACAGGTCTCATGCTACCTATTTCATCTTTCAGACGGAATAACTTACAATGTTTACAAGGGATAGCGCCGGTTTCTATCTCCGATGCAGTCTCTCTTCAGGCTAGCAATGAGATTTTTGCGAGTGCCATTGTGTTCGCTTCCAGACAGAGTACGTCAGTTTTAGAGACGGTGGAAACCCAATGTCCAGATTGACGATTTCATTTGCTACATGAAACATACCTACCGCTAATAACTTCTGGCGGATATGTGACCTGTTATCCTCAGCTGTGTTCAGTGAACTCTTACTCATCTCGGATGCCAGCTTACTTTAATATGCATTCGGACTACCTGGCTTCGCCAGTTGGCTGGTGTTTACGCTAACAGCGCCGTTACGGGCGTCCACCGAAACACACCCGAAGGTCGGCGCGAACATAGGTGTGGTCAGAGTGTACGCCTGTATTCTGAATCGAGCAGCAGTTTTGAAGACAGTATCTCCAGCCGTAACTGATCGCAATGCGATCGATTTGCTTCCGAGGTTGGTGGGCGCCAAGTCATACTTTTGCGGGTGCTGTGTCGAAAGTTTTTGCTCGCGAGAAACACGAGCGTCTTCACAAAGGTGTAGCTACCGCTCAACGTTATCATTACAGTAGCCTACACCATGTTGGCCACCCAAATGGAGCTAATCAGAGGACAGTTTTCCCACGTTCAGATCACCAGCACGCACTACTCTACCGGCGCTTTTCCTGTAACAGAAGAGGGCGTTCAGCCAGTGATGGTATTCACCTTTCATCTAGTCAGCGCAATTATTTGTGGAAGCGTAGGCAGCAATGGCAAACGCAGATCGTTTGACGCTGCTCGGCTTCAAAGCTTTGAACGAGCCAGCCAATTTTATGGCGCACATCCGGATGTTCAGCAGGTTCCAGTCGAGAAGGGTAGCTTCAGCCTGAAGGCTCCGGACAATATCCACACCGCCTTGACCAGCATTTGTTGACGCGTCATCTCCGGACAAGCGCAATGAGTAATTACTGCAGATGTCGCATGTGGAGATCTCAGGGTAATCACAGAACTCGAATCTTGCATGCGGGTTTCTGGTAAACAGCAAATATCGACCGATGAGATCTATAGTGTTAGGGCAATTGCTATCTGTTGGCCAATCTGTAACAAAGTGCACACGTTGAGGCATGCCAGTCTTAGGGAGGATCGGGCCTCTACATAGAGACGGATGAATTGACGTCCGTTTGGTTAAACATGTACTTGTCGACTAGACCGGATTGACTTCGTGCGATTGCGTCTGAGTTTAAACTAGAAGACAAGTGACTATGCAAGCAAGTTGGGGCTGCGCTGAGAATTGGGGGTTGAAAACATGGGGGTGAAGTTGAAGTGGGACTAAAAAGATGAAAAGGCGCAGCAAAGGGAATAAGAAGACGGGATGGCCTGAGAAGTAGCGTCCTCACCCCTATCCACCCTACTGGATGCAGCAGATAGGGCCCGATAATTTACCGCGATTGCGTTAAAAAATAAATTGGCAGATGTATGCCCTAATGGCGTTTCGCTGTCACACGACCACCACCAGTCGCGTGGACTGAGTGTACCGCGAGGACGCCCACCCCTACGCGGATTCGAACCGGAGACCTTTTTATTGCAAACCAGGCGCGCAGACCATTTGGCCACCGGCCGACACGGCTGCGGGAGCATCAAGAGATTGATGATAAAATCATTGTTTTGTATTGCGTAAACAAGATACTGTTAGGTTGCTCAGGTTAAGAGAAAAGAACGATTATGGCTCTCAACCAAATCCTTCGGTTCAAAAGCATTGCCGTAAGGCAGCGGGGTTTCGCCACTGGGCTATCGAGAATCCGTTTTATGGAGTAAGGGTCTTCACTCACTCTAAACTAGAGGGCTAGACAACTGAGTCGGTCTAGCCTCTAACCATTGGTCAAACTGGTATGGGTGCTTCTGAAGGTGCGAAAGCACCACCCAGCATAGCTCAATGGATCTCTAAGACCCGAATATCGTTCAACCGTCTCATCAACTCGCTGTAGGAAATCCGCGGTCAGCTTTTTTCTGTTGTTTCCTCCACTGCTACGCTGAGTAATTGCACTTCTCGCCTGTATGCATTGACGGTATTTCTTGATGTTCATACGTTGACATTGGCGACAGCAGCTTCCTGCTTGGTTTTGTCATTGACGTACACATGATTGCCAATGATCTCTTTCTGCGTCAAGGGCGTTCGCTTGTACCGTAACTGCTTTGTGGACGTGTCTTCTAGTCGTTAGTCGCTCATTTTGTCGGCTCGTGCAGCGGTAGGCTGATAAAGCTAGACAATGTTTGGCGGAGCCAGAACAGCCCTCACTTATCTAGCACTCGCGCAACTGCACAGGTTCATACACACACGCACACACTTATAAAGTACGCCAAGGCCGATGGGGAGACGGAAAAACTGGGGTAGGGTTTTTGATCAAGGCGAGCAACGCGTACAATCAAGCGTAGCTCTTCTCCGCTGCTTGCACAATTCGCGTTACAGTAGTGTGATCTGAATATCGTCCAGTCGCCTTACTTCTCCTTTCTTGCAAACAAACTGCGCATATGGTATCAGACAGGTGTGGTTGACCCATAACAGATTGCGCGGTTGGGAATCTGATTTTCCAACTGATATGATCTACAAGGTCTGCTGCCTAAATCGCAACAACTACTACGTGGGGCAGACAGGATAAAGGTTGGCACAACGTTACATGAACATAGCCTAGCCATTTATCGCCACGATCAGGATTCCCCGATGTCCGTGCATATGGATATCGAAAACCACCAATTCGACCTGGAAGACGCCAAACTTCCTTGGAGCAGCAAATGCTGGCAACCGCGAGAGTTCATTGAAACCTAGCATGCAAAGAGGAACTCGATCAGTAGGCACTTCGATCTCGAAGTTGCTTACGAAGCTCTGCGAACTAAGTCCTTGAAGCTGCATTGTTGATGTTGCTTAGTCTGGCAACGAAATGTAGGCGAACTGACTATATAGCCCATAAAACAACACAATAGCATGCCAAATATCAGTTCAGAGCAGACGCTTTCCTTGCCATTTACCGGTTGTCCTGTCTGTAGCCACAGCTGTAGTTTTGATGGGTTGTGATGAGTGGTGAATATTATTCATCTAATTGAGCTCCATCCTACCTCCCCCTGTCTGTTTTCGCTCGCACTGGCATGGCACTCTCGGTCGCTTTGTGTCCATAATTTTGCACTCATCTATTCCAGTCATATGCTCCTGTGGACAGACGGCTGACGTCATTTCTAACTGTCAGTTCTTAAGATCTCGTACTCAGTTGCACAGCCATATCTGGATAAGTGAACGGTTAGCAGGAAACCGTTGATTGTATGTCCTGCCGTCGTAATGCGGTTATAAGCTACATTTCTATTTCCAAACTGGAGACGTTTCCATCAGCTCGATTGTAGACTTTTTGCCACTAATCCAGGTGACGTCTTCAGTGCTTGGTGACATTGATAGCTGTAGTGGTGCTGTCAATGTCCTTAATACTAGGAACTGCGCTTCGTGAATGTTGGATGCAGCAAGATAAAAAGTTGATCCTTGTATACCTTCACGGATTGGCTATTGACTACTGCACTCAGTACTAAGTGGTTTTAATTATCCACCGCTTATATTGTTCCGACGTGGCATGCATCCCCTCAATCCAGTTACCGCACAATGAACTTTCGCCGTGAAGGTATTTACAGTGGTAACTCCGCTGTCTCATCCATACATTTTTGTTCAAAACTCGAGCACCATTGACTTCTCCAACTCGTCATGCAGGATAGGGTATATAACCTCTGAAGTGATTGCTTACAATGCTACCGTCACAAAGTAGCATATCTGCACGAGACACCAAATCATTTTCTTCTTCTCCCAATTGTCACGAACCACCTTAATGATTCTCTTTATAGTCTGTTCATTCTTTTAATATTGCTACTTTCCTTCTACTAATGTTGTTTCAGGTATCGGTATTCATATAAAATACGTCAATTGTACTTCCTTAACCCTCCGTTAAGCGCTACGCTACTCATGTGTCACTTGTACCAATGTTAGTAAGAGGAACAATTATACATATGTACATACTACAAGCATTGGCTATTTCTATGAGTCCTGTCTATGCGTTTGAAGGGGTGTACGGCGGCTCTTCCTCGTTCCTGTTTGCATTTTCTATGAGCACATTCTGATTGGTTGGTGATTCAGCTGCATGACCAACCTCAATTTGGTCGTACACATCCTCCCACGATTCGAGTGAACGAACTTCCTCTGTTTGGACATCAGACACTGCTATTGTGTGGTTATTCAACAGTGGAGAGACTGTGTTTTGTCCCCTAACGTCGAGTAGTCTTCTACGTCGTTTATGTCTGTTGTAAAAGCGCCGTATGAAGGTTGGTGAGACACCGGTCTCATCCACGGCATCTCTTGTGTACGACGGTGGGGATTCATAATAATACACTGGTTTGGGTGATTTTGAGCACAACGCGCATATCGCGTTTTTGCTCGGTGGCATTGTTTCGACTGATTGGTATCGCGGAGGCGCCATCGGTAAGTCAGAATCGGTGGGTGTGCTCCACGTGTCACTGAGGCGTCTGCGTTTCTGCAGCCACAACCATATCCGTTTGCAACAAACCGATTTCTTCTCTGTTGATAAAAATATCAATGTGAACACCATGCATAACGAGAAGAATGCGGCGCATATACCATACACAATTTTCCAATTGTATGACCGTATACGTTTCGGTGATACACACATTGTCCTGTCTTTTGGCTCGTCTGCATATGACATTGGAAGTTCCTTCGTTGGGGGACAGTTGTTTTGTCCGTCGCATCGCAGGGTGCGAGCGATGCATAATCCAATCGGACTTGGAGGTTGTTCAGTCTGTTTGATGCATAACAAGTAATCAGTGTGAAATTTCAGCGCGTATTCCCACTGGCTGTTTCTTCTAACGGCGACCATAGCCTTTCTCGAGGTGTATTCCTCGTATAAGCATCGGTACACCGGCGTTATGGTAATTGATAAGTGCACTAGTACATCTATGTCTTCCACATCTGGGCCCACTGATATGTAGATGGTGTTAGTAGGTCCTGGCCAGCGTGGAATTTGGACATTCTCATCCGCTCTATTCTCCGCGGTCAATATGAGGTCCAGTAGTGGTTCGAAGTTACTCTTTAGATTGTGATAGAAAAAAGACAGCTTAAGCCGTGTGTTTGTATGTGCAACAACAGGATCTATGTTAGCTTTGTTGAGGTAGACAGATATAGTTTCTAGTGCTTTGTTCGCAGGTACCTGCACTGCGATCGCACACGTTCCAGCCCGCTTGCTTTGATACGCGCTTAGTGGGATTCCGTGATCGGGTGTTCTCAGTGTGAAGGCTGGGTTAAAGGAGGAAAATGTGAGGTAGAAGAAATTCGCATTAGTCCAGGAATCCAAAATCCCAAAACAACTCGGTATATCAATCATCCTGGTGTGACCAGTTGTCATATTGGTTAATGTACACCACATTAATGTATACATTGCTACTGCTTTGGAGCTGTTCTGTGAAGCTGAATTACCAATGAAGTCATTGAATCGTGATGTAATTTTCATGAGGATGAAGCGAAACATCTACCTCCACACAGCCGAATTGATTTATGTGGCTGTTTGAAAGCCAACCAGAAGTAACGTTGGAAAGCGGCTATGTGGTCACGTGACGGAGTTGAACTGAGCTACTGTTCCATAGGCATTTCGAGCAGCACAATCTGGTGTTGATCGTTCTTCCTTGGCGCTCGACTACATAACCTCAGCCACTGCACATCTGACTTGGCTACTATGGCCCGCCCTGCGTCATCGATGAGGTATACCGTTGACGGCATCCGGTTCCGGATTTGCGTGTCACTGCGGACTCCACGGGGACAGCCATCGGACGCCTGCGCCTACAGACGGATCGTGGGTGGCTCGCGCGGCATCACCCACAGCTGCATTACACACCACATATCCGGTGTAAACGCGAAAGAATAAGACCATGAGGCATGTGGATGGAAATTATTGAGAATACCTGTAGCTCGGAGAACAGGACAATCCTTTCATGTGGATGGAAGTCACGCTACATCAACTGAGCCGGTCCACACTCCTTCACAGGCAGACACAGGCACGCTGTATTTGGGGAGTTAAGCGCACACAAGGCGGTCCTTGGACCGCAGTACGCTCCACACTGAGTGCATGGAACCACTCTTTGATCCTAGCACGACCACGAGGACCGTGCACCCCGTCCGCTTCAGCAACGACCAACCGTATCCTGGAGTCAGTATAGACGAGGTAGTGGGTAATAGACAGATAGGCGCATCAAGCGCAATCACACCGGGGATGTCAAACAACAGCCAATCACTTTAAATAAGAATAACAATTAATATATATCGAACAAAGTCTACGGAAATGATGACACAACTCTTCGCAAAATAAGCATACATAATAACTTGGTTATCAATAAATCCGCGCTAAGTTCAAGCTGTTATAAAATATATTTTTATAAAATACCACAGACGGAATATGTTAACGAACATACCCACAATTAGCTTATCGACCTGTGCAAGTTATTTGACGATTAGTAGAACGTGATAAGTGCACCTTGATCATATCCTGGTAACCAAGCTTCGGTTTCCCCACATGCTGCTACCCCAAATTCAGTTGACCATTTAATAGCGGCTTCGGTATCCGCGTCGAAGCCATTCACCACACATGACCCCGCCACCTAAGGTGTCTCAGCAAAAGTATGCAGTCCACTGCATACATACCACTTCTGCGCAACACTTCCGTGTCTGCAACTTTGTCGCACCAACCGATGCGTATAATCCGTCGCAGACACTGTTGATGAAACCACTCGAGATCTCGCACATCCCAACGGTACATCGTCCACGTTTCACTGCCGTATAGAAGAACGGACAGCACCATGGATTTGTACACCATCAGCTTCGTGCGAACGGTAAGCTGATGGTTGTTCCACACTCGGTACTCTAGCTTTCCGAATGCCGCCTCTGCTTTCGAGATGCGGATACGCAGCTCACTATGTATCTGCTGGTCAATCGAAACCACACTGCAAAGGTAGCGGAATCGAGCGGTGGTTTCCGATACTTCGTCCCCAGTGCTGATTTGCGGCACCATTGTAGATTGCACCTCCAGTGAAAGCTGAAAGAGACAGACAGTTTTGCTTGTGCTGATGGCAAGCCTGAATTTGGCCGCTATGGAAGCCAGAGCACTAGTGATGTGCTGCAACTCATCCGCGCTGTGTGCAAACAACGCAGTCTTCAGCGAACAGCAACGTACGGCTGGTTGTCTCGCAGACTAGGGTTCTCCCGGCGAAACGATAGATGTTCAACAACATACCATCCACACGGTGATCCACACGGGCACCGTAGGCACAAACCGCATCAAACGCACACGACATCATGGCACGAAGATGGATGCTGAACATGACAGGGACTAAAACACAGCCTTGCTTTACAAAGTCATCTGAGGTCTGTCCACTCAGCTGCACAATCGCCCGCATACCACTGCAGACATTCAATTCAAATTGAATACCCGGACAGCCAAACTTACCCAACCCCAGACACAATGGCTCGCGGTTCGCCGTATCAAATGCTTTGGTAAAGGTAACGTGCAGGGAGTATAAAATTGGTGTCGTTCTCTGCTCTTCTCCTGTAACTGACGAGACACAAGCATACAGGGAGGACTGTATGATTTTCACACAGTGCTATAAGTGTTTTGGACACGGTGGAATGTCGGTCGGTAACAATCCCAAGCCTCGACGATCTTTCACAACTAAATACGATAACCATGTCGAGATAGCTCATGCTGTGATTTGTGGAAATCGTTGTTTGACTGTTCGAAAAGTTGCTGACCAAGTGGGCATCAGCCATCATGCCATCAAAATCTAGTACGTTTGAGGGATGCTGTACGCAGGGAGAGGCCTGAACTGTGTGAAAACCAGACTTGGATGTTGCATCATGAGCATGCGCCCGCTCACGCATCGCACCTTATCCGCAGCTATCTAACAAAGGATCACACTCCCGTTGTGACGCATCCATCGTATTCTCCGGACCTGGCACCTGCCGACTTTTTCCTGTTTCCAAAACTTAAAACGGCATTAAACAGAGATCGTTTCCAAACTACAAATGAGATACAGGACAATGCGACAAGGTCTGCGCGCCATCCCAGAAATTGCGTTCCAGGAGGCATTCTAAGAATGGAAGCACTTTTAGGGACCAATAAAATGAATACATAAATAAATGTTTTCTTCCCGTCAGTGCGCGGCACACCTGCGAAGGCATGATCATGATAATACGAACGGGTACAGTCGGTTATCTTATAAAAAAATCTAGCAGCTTAACCAGTAACATACCGGATTTGTGTGTCTGTATATATGTGAGTGTGTGTTCGTGGACATGGTGAGTGAAATTGTACCGTGAGAGGGAATGCGTGAGTTTGGTTGCTGCGGTTAGCCACCGTGTGAAGGGATCGAAGTAACTCTTCGAGCTGGATGACGTTCGTGAAGTGGCTAAGACCCTCCGTAAGAGGAAGAGGCAGTGACTTTATTTGGTGGTGAGTCACAGCCACCACGTCGCAGTGTTGTTAAGCGGAGTTTTGTGGCTTTTCATAGGGCGAACGCTCGCCAGGCGAAAAGCCACCATGTCCTGGAACATGATGGCCTAACCATTTGCTTGAACGGGATTTACCCAAAACCCCCAGCTGGCACCACGTGGAGGTTGTTCGGCTATCCAGGCGTATAGTGCTTAAAATGTTGTGCATTGAGCAAAAAAGACATTGTAACAAAAGTTTGCTTCCTTTTTAAACACCCCCGTGTACCTTGGTAATCTGCCACTGAGTGTAAAGACGCGTTATATTGAAAACCTGTTTTGTAAGTATTGTCCAATCGCCGAGATTGACCTAAAGTCGCAGCGTGGAACTCCGCGTTTATTGAATCTGTGGACGAACTAGTCACGTCAGATGCTGTCAGGGGAAGCGACGACTGCAGATTCGATCGATACGTTCTACGTGTTGTGTTTCCTCGCAGAAATGCGGTAAATTACAACAGGGACCGTAGCGGATTTAATTCATTTAGGCGCGGATTCGGCCGTGGCGGTGGGGTCAGCGGCCCATCCCGATGTGCTGACCTTGAAGTGGTGGTGACCGTTCTATCTCCCGCCGGTAGCTGGCAAGATCTGAAGGGTCATATGTACGAGGTAAGCGCTTTCTGGCATGCGGACGTCTTTCGCTATGGAACTGGAGTAATGGTTTTTAAGGTACGTGGACATGAAGTACGCCGTTAAGAAGTTAGATGATTCAAACATTCGATCCCACGAGGAAGAATCATCTTACATTCGCGTTCGCGAAGAGCGTTCTGGTGGCTCTCGGTGTTGCTCCCCTTCGCACTAACTGTAAGCTATCTCCCTGTAACAACTAGGTCACTTCTACAACTAAAGACGCCTCTGCATTCATGAAATTCTTCCTTTGAATCATTTAAACAAACCCGCTCCAACGTATTCACCTACAAACCAATCAGCTTATTGGCTAGGATGCGTTAGCGTCCAAACATCTGCTTCGTTGGCTTACGGCAAGCTAGCCGTTTGCTTCTCCATGTAAATCCGTACCATCCTTCTAATTGCATAATCCCTTCACACCTGACTTCCTGGATCGCCATCGTCTGCCCGGTACATGTTCCTGGTTGGGGGCCCAATGATGAGGATTACCACTGGCTCGATGCATTTGATGATGTGGCGCGAAACGGAAAGCAATGCAAGAACTAGGTATTTAATTGTTTTGACCAATGTGATTAGAGCTATATTAAAAAGGAAAGACGAAAAACAACAAAATGGCGAGTGAAAAAAGCCAAAAGAATTTGTTCATTTTTCTTGAGATTTGTTTTTCTTAGTTTTTTCCTCATGGTTTTCCGATGGCTCGATGTATATTTATGAACAGTAATTAAAGGATCTAGAAAAGTATGTGCATCGATTTCTATGTATTGGTGCGTCTGAATGAAGAGCTGATGGTATATTGTCTGGCAGTGTTTCGACATATGACCGGAGATGCAGCATTCCGCGTCCTGGAAACGGTGCAGTATAAAAAGGACGATGACCAAGCTGATTTGAAAACAGTCATCCGAAAATTCGGCGATTTCTGTTAGGGCAAGTCCAACGAGACGAATCAGTCGGATCTCTCTCACAATGGCCTCGAGTGGCTGTTGACTGCGCCTGGGGACTATGAATGACTCACCTGGGTGCACTTGGAGACCGATGATCATTAAACGTCTGATAATTGCGAAGGCAACTTTGCTTCTTGATTCACTGCGTACAATCGTCGTACTTTCTATCTGTTTGCGGATCCACTTTGGAATGTGTTCATTGATTCGAACACCCAGATTTCGAGTAGTGCGCCCAACATAGCTGTCACCATAGTTACATGTGAACTTGTGTAACCAAATGGGACGTGCACTGCTTCGACACACGCGTCTTCACTAAACACTTAAGTATTGGTCTTGTGATCATCAACAAGCGTAGCTCTGTTGCGTTGTAAGTCTTTCACACTGAGGCGCTTATTCCTTTAGCAGTGACTTGCTAGATGTGGTCACCTTTGAAAGGCAACTCAATGAACACCGGTCTAT